ATAAGGGCCCAGTGAAGCAAGTCCAAGAGCCCAGGTTAATGGCTATCTTACAGCATTTCAAGCTGTCAGAGGGTAGATATTTAGACATGGAGTCTTGAAAAGGGGAGGTTATAAAAGTCATGAGAGAAAACATTCGAAACTTAGTCCAAGTGGGGTTTTTTCCTTTTAGAAAAAAAAACATAAGCAAGAATTTAGAGGTATCAGCGTTGTTTGTTTCTGATGTTTTCATAGTTTGAATAAATAGGAGGAAAACAAAATGAAGCAAGTAAACTCAAGTTTAGGTGCTGAAGAAACTGTCACATGATCAAATCCAAAGAGAAGAGTAGGATCTTAGGTAAGACTGATAGGGGATAAGAATTTCTTGGCAACTTGTCAGTTACTAAAGTGTTTAGGAAGATACCATAAAAAGAAAATAAAGAGAAGTAGAAAAACAAATAATAATGATAATGGTTTATAATACCCTAAAACTTTCAAACAGAAGGAATAATGTAATACATTGACAGGGAATATATCATTTAATTGCTAAAACAATTTTCCAAACTACAAATAATTCTCTTAAGAGTTCTTTTTGGTTAAATGCAAATCTAGTTTGTTTAAATAGCTGATTCTTATTTCCTCAGAAATAAGCTATAGCCCTTAATAATTTAAAACAACTTTAGTAATGAAGGCCTCATTGTGAACTGCACTTTTAAATCCGTTCCTTGCCCAATGTTATTTGAATGCTTAATGTATATCATTTAACCTTAATGCTAAGGAGCTGACATCTTAACAAATTCACCACTTTTACCACTAGGTGGCGAAAAAACCCAAATAGTATCTGTTACCAAAGCTAGTACAAGATCCCAACTACTTGAACAACTAGAACTGCCACCAGGTGTCAACCAAGAGAGGGGGAAAAAAGACTTCCCCCAATTCAAATATACAAATTCATAGTTTTAAGCACAACTATTTAAACTTTATTAGAGATAAATGGCCTGCTCATTAACTGCCCAAATAGTTTGCATATTTATACTCACTTATATAATGCTCGAGTCCAAGATACTGCCTTTTCAACTAAAATTCAATTAAATAAAAATCAGTACCATCCAAAAAAAGCAAGCAAGCAAGCAAGCAAGCAAGACCAATGAGCTTAGTATATTGTAACTCACAGGTTCAACCTATCCAAATATACTGCACAAAAGAATCTAAAGTGGTTTAGACGGACAAAAATCTTCCAAAGCATTATTTGGTTATGTATATATATTTATATATATTCCATATTCATATTTTTTCTTCCTATATTTCTCTCCTATAAGCAATTTTGTTGACCGCAAAAAATCTAGGTAAGTATATGCTGTTAGCCTTGAATCTCAGTGTGATTTTATGAAAGCATTGCCATTTGTTACCAAAACGTTCACAATAAACAGACAAACGTACCTGTCCGTGAGACAGATGTATTATGAGAATTACTATGTTGAAAGGTCCAAAGCTAAAAATTAAAATTAAAGCTTTACAGAATTGAGCTCTATTTACGTAACAAATCATAGTTCTTAAAAATTATCTTCTGCGCTTCACTGACTGCTAACAAAGATTTTTTGATCCTGTTGTAAACATTATGTCAGCTAAAACACTGTGTCATGCTGCCTTTTATACGGCGGTACTTTTTTAGGCCGAACTCTATACTTAATCCTCTGGACACAGGAGGTGTAATCATGTCATACACTCAAATCTAGCTGTAGGTGGTGTCTCAAAAAAGGACTTTTTCTTTCTTCGAGGAAGTGGTCGAACCTTTTTCCTCCCTGCTGTCATCATGCAAATAACTTGGTTGTTTTTCATTGCTATCGAATTAAGAAATGAAAGAGAAAGAAAACATACTGATTAAATTATACTTGCTCCTTACAGCATTCTCTTTTAAGGTCTCGAATCGGTCTCGACTGGGTTCATTTCCACCCTGCCTACAAAGCACTGGTTTTTAAAAGAATCCAAGCCAAGAATGCTGTCGTCTATGAATATTATCTCTTGCCTGATTTTTATTACTTTTTTTTTAATTCGTTAGTTTATGCTCACAACCAGCCCTTGCCCAACCGGTTTCTCCCCTTCCCCCATCTCTCTTCACACATCACTTTTTCCTCCTCCCATCCAGGCAGTGGGCAAAACCCTGCAGTGCCGCTAAGGCATGCTCCGGGCTAGTCACTCAGCAGTTTATCCTCACTTGACTTTGCAAACATCTCCCCACCCAACCTTGTCCCCTAGTGGCCCCCTCGGCCATTATCTTTCCACTAGAGTGTGCTCGGTAAGGGACTCCAGATAGCACGTCGAGGGCTTACGGTAGCCTGCCTACCAATAGGAGCCCACAATGAAGAGAAGTCAGGTTCAGCCTCCCGGCAGCCCGTGTCTTCTTCCCTAGCTATACACCTACTGTACCCGCGAGGGAGCGAGCGAGCGAGCGAGCGAGCCGGCGCGGGAGGGGACGCGCAGGGAGGGCGGACAGCAGCCGCGGCGTGCGCATGCGCGCTGGGGTTGTTTTTCACAAAGCTCTTAAAGTGAGCTGGCAGCTTCCAGCCGCCCGTCTTTGTAAGGAGACCACTGAGACTAGCAGGAGCGCGGAGCAGCATCCTCTCCGCTGCCCTGACTTTTTAAGAAATCTCAATGAACTATTTGTAAAGAATCACTGATCCTGCCTGCAAGCTTTTTGCACGGCAAAGACATCGATCAGTGTTAAGTGAAGATCACGTTTTATATGTGATCTTGACTTTTTTGTCTTACATTATATTTTTATAGATTTTGTTATAAACATGGTGCTGGGAAAGGTAAAGAGTTTGACAATAAGCTTTGACTGTCTTAATGACAGCAATGTCCCTGTGTATTCTAGTGGGGATACAGTCTCAGGAAGGGTGAATTTAGAAGTTACTGGGGAAATCAGAGTAAAATCTCTTAAAATTCATGCAAGAGGACATGCGAAAGTACGCTGGACCGAATCTAGAAACGCCGGCTCCAATACCGCCTATACACAGAATTACACTGAAGAAGTAGAATATTTCAACCATAAAGACATCTTAATTGGACACGAAAGAGGTAAGTTTTTAAATCATTCAGAAATCATTAGACCTGCTTTCTTTGGGAAAGTATTTTTTCAGTTTTTCTGAATTAATGTAATTCTACTCCTAGCATAACATGTAGCAGTTTGATAAATGTTAGCAAAGTTAGATTTGGTTTCTCCTTGACATTCATCGTGTTAAGCCGTAATGCTTGCAGGCATCTGCAAAGTGACTGCAAACTGCACTTACTCAACTACCTCTATACCGGGCTTGGTCTGTGCCATACGCACTTGCAGTCCATTTTCACCTTACTTGTAAATTCTGCTTAAAGCCTGATTCAATAATTTTCCTAATATGTTTTCAAATTAATTGCTAAAAGCTGCAGTCCGAATTAGATTTTTTCCCTTGTACTCTGCAACCTTAGGTCTTAAAAACTAAGCTTCAGTGAAGAAATAGAATAACATTTTTAAGTGGGTTAATAGGTATATTTTATTTCTAATATTGACACGCAAAAGGCTTTAAAGAATTGATCGTTGTTCCTTGATAAAGGGTTTCTGTGTCTTATTTTGACATATGGTATCAACACCCCACGTGTTTTTTCCCTATTCTTTCCAGTTCCTTTAGAAATTTACATCAAGCATTCTCTAATTTAAAGGACAGTATCTGTCATTATGGTATGTTTCAGATCAGTTTTAGAAGGCATTTAAGGTCAGTAATTTTCTTTTCTGAGCATCATGTTTAACTTTGGAACGTGCATTCAATGAAACCCGTGCCAGTCAAATGGAATAGAAAAGTATGCGGCTCATTGGATTTGATTTTTGGTTAGAAAAGGGAGCTAAAGCGTTGTCAAAGGGAGAGAGGGTCCTGAGATTTCCAATCTATTGTTTAAATGGTTACATTGTGGAAATATAGGAGACTCTAAGCTTGTTTTTCTAAGTTTCCACCCTTTGTTAGAAGCGGTTCAATCCTGTTTCGGACCAGTTCTGGGGGGTGGTGAGGAGGGGCGCTTGTTCTGCTCTCAGCAGATTGGTTACACGCGTCAGGTGGTGGCGATGACTTAATTCCTAGCCCAAGAAGAATATAATGTTAAAACTGGTTATGTAATTTTGTGCTTCTCCTTTTTAATGCAGTATTTAGTTCGAATGTTGACGGTTTTTCAAAGAGTAGAGCACATTTTACTCTTTTTATATTAAAAAATACACATCCGTGAGGAGGTGCTAATTGAACTAAGGCAAGTGTGGAAATGTAGGGTGCTTTGAGTTACAGCATTAATGCATTATTTTTTAAAACATTAAAATGAAACCCATTATTTAGTTGGGTTTTCAGTTACACATAGGTAATTTGCATCCTGAAAAATGTCTAGTTAATCTCTCCGAGCAGTGACACTGATACGAAATGCAACTGCCTAATGACAGTCCTGGTGTTTGCTGAACAGCAGACACAGGAGTTTGTATTTGAACCTTTCTGTACGTGGTAGTTTTTTATAAAATGGATAAAAAGAAACAAAGGTTTTTAAAGAGTTAAGGTTTGCAGTGGGGTAAAAGTAGAATCACGACTTCTGTGGACAAACACAATTTCATTAGTTGCTCCATGATTTCACAGCAGAGAAAACTATGTGCCCTGCACCCCACGAGATGCCCCTCAACCCCTGCAAAGCATGGAAGAACTCTTAAGCCTGGAATAGTTTCAATGACTTAAAACCTGGGACCTCTCAAACTAGCCTGGTGACTGAGACCCGCCCCGGGCGGCCGGCGATAGGCGGAGCCGCGTTTGTTAGCCTGTTGCTAAGGCGATGCCAGGCTCTGATTGGATTGGGCGCGGGCGGGTGGGGAGAGTGGGCTCACCGGCTGGGGCGAGGCTTGGAACCGGCGTGCGCCGGTAAAGGTCCCTCCTGAGCGGCCGCCCCCGCCCCTCCTTGCGTCCTTGCCCCGGCTTCTAGAGGCGCCCGTGGCTCATGTCACATACCGTTCTGTCGCCCCTCACCTCGGCCTGCTGGCAGCCCCCGGAAAGAGCGGCTTAGGTTTCGACAGAGTGGAGGGGAGAAGCCCCTGCCGGCCTCCCAGGTGCCGAATGGCTCTGGGCGCAACTTTTTAGCTGACGATCCTATTCATAGTTGGGCGGGGCGGGCTGGCGGGATCCCATTTTCCAGTTTTTCGGCTGGAAGTTGTCAGGCAGCTTCTGCGAACGCTCGTCTGCCTCTAGCCGAAACAGCGAGTTTCCCGGTCTGTGCAGTCACCGGACGGGCTACCTTGGTTTGACCTGAGGGGAGAGAGCAAAGGCTGGCCAGAAGAGGAAAGTGGCACTAACGTCAAAAGCTGGGTGGGGTGCGGGCCTCGGCGAGTATTCCCTGCCCCTCCCCATTGTTTCTCGGGGCTGTTGCGTTCCCCACCCTCCTCGCCGTCGCCCCAGTTTCCCTCTCCTCAACTGTAAAGGTGTCAGGGTGGCCCAAGCCAGATCGAACCGGTCACCGGCTGGGGCGTGTAAAGCGGAAGCGCCGCAGCGCGCTCGCCCCGCCCTCCCCCGCCAGCAGGCTAGGCTGCGCGGCCGCGAGCGCGAGCGCCGCGCGACATATGCCGTATGTATAGCGGGGCGCGCGGGCGGCGGCGGCGGCGCCGGGCGGGCCGGCTGGGATCGCTCGCGCCGGTTTAGGCCGGTCCTCTCCTGCTCCGGTCTAGTTCTTGATTGACAGCCCGGCACTTGTTTACCACCGCGCGGCCGCCGCCGCCACTCTCCTCAATGAGACTGCTGAGCTGGCACAAAAAGGGAGCAAGAAGGAAGAAAGGGAGAGGAGGCAAACTTTCGGCGCCTTCGTGGGGAGCGAATTTAAATGGCCCCCAACTCGTAAGGCAGTTTTCGGTGCTGAAATTTGTGCAGAGGATCTGTACAGGGAGCAAGGAAAATACTACTGAGATAGAAGCGAGTCGTCGTGGTTTTTGAACATAAGTAACCACGTATTGGAGCCTTTTTTTGTCCCTTTTCTCCTTTGATGGGAGGGAAGCATCACGTTTTTTGTGTATATACAGTACTTTGGTGACGGAAAGTTACCAATTTCTTCTACTCTCGTAGTTAATGATGAAGCTTTCTACACCGAGAAAATTACATTAGGAAGACATGTACTTAAATTACCTAGTCAGAACTCTTTGGAAAAAAAAAAATCTTCTTAAGAATCCAGAACCACCTCCCGTACTTCACTATGTTTATTTCGGAGACGTTTTTTAAAAAACTGACCAAAAGAAATTGGTTATAAAATGAAAGGTCAGCCCTCTTTTCTAGCAATTGGCAACAACCTAGTTCATTTTTCAAGGGTGTTTCCCATTTAGCAGGCACCTTTGAAACCTAAGGTATATTTTATATAAATGCACATTTTTAGCTATTGCTCACGCAGCCTGGGTGTTGTCATCATTTTAGGTTCAATAAGAATTTTTATTTTTAGCTATGAAACTGACATTAAAATCACTGTTCCTTTTTTTTTAACTCCAGATCTATTTAACAGCTTTTTTTAATGGTTTTAGAGTTGTCACATTCACATCTTCTGTATCAAAACTGACATTTTAAAAGGTTTACGTGAAGTTTTCATTTTATATAGTCTTAACAAGATTAATTTAAGTAAATAGTAAAGACTAAGGTAACATCTTAGTATGAGGGTTGAGATCTTAGTGTTTTGTTGAGCGTGTACTGTATGAGATGTAGACATTTCAGTTAGGGTCGTTTTCCATTTAAAAACCACCTATGCAGCATAAGTATTAATTATCCCCATTCCACAGATGAAGTAACTGAAGACAGGACTTTTATTTTACTGAGAGGAAGTGATGAAGTTGGAATTTGAACTCAGATCTCTCAGACTCCAAAGTTTGTGGCCTGAATTACTATGTAAGCACCTTTAAAGTTATGCCATGGCAAAGAGAGTGTAAAGGTGTAATAATAAGTTTTTTGTTCTTTTCTGTTTGTTTTAGATGATGATAATTCTGAAGAAGGCTTCAACACTATTCATTCAGGAAGGCATGAATATGCTTTCAGCTTTGAGCTTCCACAGACGTAAGTATTTTATAACAGGCGTTTTTCATAAACATCCATTCTTCTGAAATGAAACTTAATCAAAATTTAATTATTTTTAGTTTAAAAAAAAACCCTTTTCATTAAACTTGCTAGAGGAAAACAATATACTCAAAAAAGAGACAAGCTATTTTTTTTTTAATCTAGTGTGGCAAAATTATAGAAAGCAAAGTTCAACTCATGGTACTCTGTCTCAAGATTTATAAGGTTTTAAAACTTAAATGCATTTCATTTAGTGAGTGAATTGAAAGTTGCTAATTAAAATAGCGCTTAATATTTAGTTTGTTATCAGCGTTAACAGAGAAGGTAGAACATACCAGGTCTCACTTAGTAGTTTATAAAAAGTCAGTGTTTTATCTTTTCTAGTGATGCTAACCAACAGCAGTAAGCTAAGAAGATCAAAATAATTAGGGATATCCTAGCTTTAGAAGCATTTATGCGTGTGTATGTGTATATATATATATATGAATTCATTAGCTTCTGTGAGAAGAGCTATTGAGAAGGTCACACGAGATGTTATAACCTGAGCATGAAAGGAAACATCTCTCAGATACCTAAATTACCTTAACATAAGGCTTGGAATCTAGTATGAAAGAAAGAAGGAAAGTATTATATTCTCAATGTAGTAACAAATCGTTAGAAGTTATACAAAAAACAATTTTTAATAATGCCTAAACAGGTGTTAAAAACCTCAAAGTGGCACTTATACTGATTTTTCTGAAGGATAAACTTAAATTCTAATACTTAATATATGCGGATGGGGTTTATAAAGGGTATTTTTAAGAATATTCTATTTATCATATTATTTAAGAACATTTTTAACATAATGCCCTAATTACTTTGAGAGAAAAAAATTTAAGTCTCTGAATACAGCAGGGCTAATACAGTTGGGACTGAATATTTTCAAAGAACAGATAATTTAGTATGTTTCTTAAAAATTCTATCAGTAAACCAAAGTCATTTAATACAAACTCCAGAAGACTAGCACAGATCCTGCATTTTATTTCTCTGTGCTATCCAAGTTAATGCAGGAATCTAAAATGCAAAAAAAGAGAAAAAAGTAAAACACCACTACTCCTAAGCTAGCATGCTACCTTGTAAAAGACCAAACTTCGGGCATTTTTCTAACAAAATTATGAAAAAAGAATTCACTGAAATAAAATCTTTCACAAGTAGTAAAATCTGGGAGAGTTGAGAAAGAATTCTGATTCTCTTGTGTAGAGCAATAGGAAAGATTCTTTTCCTAAGTCTATAGTGTAGTTAGAAAACATCGCCAAAAAGAGTTAGAACATAAGTAAACTGGGAAATGTAAATGCAGTTTTCTAGAGTTTCAGTGGACTTAATGAAATATGAAAAATTTTTTGAAACTATAATGACTATTCCAGGCCTTTTCTAGATCTTAATTAGTTGGTATAAAAAGAGATAATAATAACTTGTAGCTAATGAAAAGTAGAATGCCATAGAGAATTTGGTCTGAATATTTGACCAGTGTCTAGAATTTCTCAATAGAAATAGTTAAACCATTCTTAACTTTATTTTTAAAGTAAAATCTTGACCTTTTCAAGAACTATTTATTTCCAGACTTTCATAATTTTGCCACAAGCATTAAAGTAGCCTCTTCTTAAAGAGATTGTATTCTGGCTTTTTTAAGCAAAATTTCTGTAATATTTAACAATTACTGTTATTTGAAAACAAGGTTTTTTCCCCCAGTGACTTATCCCTTTGGAAATTTTTTAAAATTATGCCTTTGATACCTCATTGATGTATAAACAGTACAATATATTAACACTTCTATGCTGACCTACTGTATAATTTTCAGAAAGAGGTGTAAGATTAATATATTGACCTTTATATTCTGCACAGACCACTTGCTACCTCATTCGAAGGCCGACATGGCAGTGTGCGCTATTGGGTGAAAGCCGAATTGCACAGGCCTTGGCTTCTACCAGTAAAATTAAAGAAGGAATTTACAGTCTTTGAGCATATAGATATCAACACTCCTTCATTACTGGTAAGAATTGACTGAATTCTTCATTCTTTATTTTTGGCTTATAAATACTGAAGAATAATTACCTAAACTATGTAATTTTTATAATTTTAAAATAGTGGTTTTATTTTTAAATTCCATAAATGTTATTTTCCCAAAACATATACTCATGAGCATACAAATTAATGCAGAATATGCTCATTTTCTGATTGTAATAACATTAATTTTAAAAGAAAGACCAATATTTGGTAAGAAATACCTTTTACTCATAAGATAATAGCAGTAACAAAAAAATAGATCTGTTCCCTGAATAATTTTAGTGGAAAAGGAACAGTAGTATCAATTATTATAACAATATCATTTAATTTGAAAATATCATAATCTAAAGTTTGTACTGCATTGCATTATTCCATTATAGGGATAGTTGTCAAATGATGGGGAGGTTATCACTGTCATGAAAAACTTAATTCTGTTTTAAATCTTTTTTAAGTGCATTTTTCACAAGATTCAGATTTGGCTTCAAAAACTTTATTTGGTTTAAGCAAATAATAACATCTTTAAGCAAATAAGAATCTTAAAGATGAGCAATTTGCCTTTTTTTACAAATTGAATTTTATATTCTCAAAGAAAGATGTCATTATTTGGGATTATAACCAAGTTGCTTTCCAAGCTGCCTTTTTTTCTTAAGGCAGTTTAAATGGAATGTGGAAAGGGTTTTTTTTGTTGTTGTTGCTTGGTTGGTTGGTTTTTTTAATTACTGTATATGTAAATAGTGTGGGCTAAAGTATGTTTACAAAATATGGTGTTAAGCCCTTTACCCTTTTTTCTTTAATTGAATGGGAACTTGTATAAAGACAAAAATACTTCTATATATCAGAAGCCACTGGTTAGTGGAAAAGTATGTTTGGATACAGGAAAAAAAGCAACATTGCTTTTAATGTTAAATTCTTCAAGAATTTAGGATTGTATTTTAAAACATTGTTATTGTCCCAACTCTACATTGATCTTTTTCTCTAAATTTATTTCTTACAGTCACCCCAAGCAGGCACAAAAGAAAAGACTCTCTGTTGCTGGTTCTGTACCTCAGGCCCAATATCCTTAAGTGCCAAAATCGAAAGGAAGGGCTATACTCCAGGTATGTATGAGGTGGAATCCCACAAAAAATGATCTTTCTTCCCTTAGCTTTCATGTATAAATTTACATTATTTCTACTGAATGCAAACATGATACTGTATTCTTTGGTAAAATAACATAAGTTGTGCTTATCCAGTTTCCTTTCATAAATTAGAATTAAGTCGTCTTTTTTAGTAGTTACTGTCAATGAGTATTATTTTTATAACTGTAAGTTCCTTGCCACTCTTAGAATCCTGCTTTTTATCCATGTAGTTTATTGAACTTTCAAACTTCAGTCTAAGAATCTACATTTGTTTAGGGTTTATTTGTTTGTTTTTTAACAGTAGGTGTATATATGTGTGTGTGTGTGTGTATATATAATTTTTTTTTCCCCTAGGTGAATCAATTCAGATATTTGCTGAGATTGAGAACTGCTCTTCCCGAGTGGTGGTGCCAAAGGCAGCCATTTACCAAACACAGGCCTTCTATGCCAAAGGG